TGAAAATGAGGCAGGGGAAGTGGCGTCCTTTTAGAGGCAAAAACAAGTAGAAATGGGTACAGAAGGTGAACACGTCAAAGGATCTTGAACTCAAATTCTCAGAACAGTGATAAGAGCGAGGTTCACAGATGCTCGGTGGGTATGGAGTGCCATGCTGTGTCCTGCATAAATACAGTGTCTCACGCGGCCTTTACCATGATCTGTGAGGTGCTCTTATCCTCATTTTGTGAGTGATACAACTGAGCGCCAGAGAGCAGGTGGTTGATGGAGCCAGGTTTGGACTCACACCTGTTCTGCTCTAGTTTGAACCATTACACTGTCCCAAATCTGGGCCACTGAAAGGCAGTGGTTTAATGAACAGGAAAGTCCAGAGGAAATTCTTTGGAAAAATCCGAGCAATCATTTGGCCTCAGGCAGGTGAGTTTGATATCTTTAGATGCATGCATCATGTAGCTACATACACACGAGCTAAATAGATACATGGGAGTCGTGGCCTTGTGTGAAATAGGGAGCGCTGTCCTTTTAAAGGTATTACCGTTGGGGCGCCTGGGTGGCCCACATCTCACCTGCAAGGCTGCATTCTGTAGAGGCACTTGCTAGAAAGCTCGTTGGCAAAAATAGTAATCAGTTCTAAATTGGTAAAACAGTGGTCGTATTCTATGAAAAATCAATTAAACCAGAGTTAGTAAAGCCAACGTTTTTCTTCCTGTGTGCTAATCTGAATTACTGACAAAGGAGGGGAGTTATTTTACAAACAGCTACTTACCAGCTGCTCCCCTGCCTGCGGTCTGCCAGTCTGCACATTGTGTGACTGCATATTTCTTTAAAGATTTCTCCAAAGCTCAAGTGGGGTCGAAAGCCTGGCTGTGCCACCCACTTCTCAACGGGCCCCTTCTCGGTCTCCACAAATGGGGGCTCAGTTCCCCAGCCTGGAAGGAACACCAGCCACACCGATGCCCAAGCTTGGGCGAGGCATCTCAGAAGGAGATGATGTTCTGTTTTTTGATGAGTCCCCGCCACCAAGACCAAAACTGAGTGCTTTAGCAGAAGCCAAAAAGGTAAGTGACGTCTTTTTTCACCATTTGAATTTGCATTCTGTAGGACATGACTGGAGTTGCAGACTTTATACATCTATGACCAGGAAAGACAGTAATAGCTTTTTATTGATCATGATAATCAGAGTCCAAGGAATTTTAAGTGACGATGGTATCAACATAATGCCATTAATTTAACGTTAACCCGTTCTCAGCGCTATTCCTTACACGGCTAAAAGACATTGCGTAAACACTGGCCTGAGAGAGACAAACTAGGAATTACTGAGGCAAGACTGTAAAATGGTGGTTTGAAGAATCCTTCTTCAAAAGAACTCTTACGCAAGAGCTAAGTCACTCTGATCGACGTAGGAGTCGAGAGTGCTCAGAACCCCACCTCTCCACTTCCTGAGTCACCCTGAGCCCCAACTGGAGCCTGTCTTCTCTTTGTTCTAGTTAGTAGCTATACCACATGAAGGGCAAAAGCTAGTTATAAGCCAAAGCTGTACCTGCAGTAATAATAATGATAACAATTGTGCATGTACCTGTCAGTGACGCACACATGCCATGTTCTATGTATAGGTTCATGCTTTGCATGCATTCTCTCATTCTGTCCACACAGCCTAGGAAAACATTTCCATGTTATAAAGGCTGAGACGTTAATTTGCGTAAGGTTACAAACTAGTAAGTGGCAGAGCTAAAATTCTATCCTAATTCTGATTCTTTTTTTGTTATTATTTATTTTGAGAGAAAGCGTGAACAGGGGAGGGGCAGGGAGAGAGCGGGAGAGAGAATCCTAAGCAGGCTCCGTACTGTCAGTGCAGAGCCCGACACGGGACTTGATCCCGTGAACCTTTAGATCGTAACCTGAACCGAAATCAAGACTTGGATGCTTAACCGACTGAGCCACACAGGCGCCCCTCATTCCGTCTGATTCTAAAACAAACTTCCAAAATGTTTATGTGATTCCTCTATGGGTTTTGAAGCCCACAGTGTAGCTGATATGAAACTATTGATATTTAAATAAACTGAAACTTTATTTATTAGCTCATAGACCTGTCTCCATGCTTTAAAATTTTAATAATTGGGTTAATAATGCTAAGCAAAGAGAAGATCTATTTTGCCAATTTGTATGTGAGAACAGAATTCACTGGCTAATAGCTAGAAAAAGGATTTAGGATCACAGATACCCGTCTCATCTTTAAGATTTTTATCTCCTCTTTTCTTCTAGTTAGCTGCTATAACCAAATTAAGGGCAAAAGGTCAGATTCTTACAAAAACAGATCCCAACGGCATTAAAAAGAAGCAGAAGGACCCCCAGGATGTCCTGGAAGTGAAGGAACGTGTAGAAAAGAACAACACATTTTCTCCTCAAGGTACTGTGGATTTCAGAGTTAACAGTGGGAATGAAGCCATCTGTAAGGAGATGTTCTAAACTATAACCACCATGCCTGATATCAAAAGTCATTGTTTTACTTAAATTTACCTCTCTACAACACCTAGATAGAATTTCGTCAACTGGAACTGACCGTTTTCTATAATCGCATTAAATTGAAATAAAATTAGGCACAATCTAAGAGCTTGGAGAAAGGTTTCTCACTGGATCTTTGCACAGATATATTAGTATAAAGATTGGCTTTGAAAGGAGCATAATTTCTTAGCAATTGCCCTGTTTTTATTTTTAAAACTCTGAAGTTGGCAGCGACATTTTACCATCAATTTGTAAAAAGGATTTTTGTTGGTGTTTCCTGTCATCAGAGCTCCTATTTTAAGGTGGAAAAGAGATTCTAATTCAGTGGTCAAATCTGCCATACCTCATATTCTAGGCTCTCCTTTTCAGCCTCACTCCTTACGAGTTTCCCTCTGTTGGTACCTCGTGGGGTAAATTAGGTTTGAAGGGCCTGTTGGGCAGAGAGGGAGAGGACGGGGGTAGCTGAGTCCATGAGGCTCACTGGCTTCCTGAAATTCCTCTGCAATGACCATCCTTTGTGCTCTAGCTGAAGATGAGTTGGAGCCTGCCAGGAAAAAAAGAAGAGAACAACTTGCCTACCTGGAATCTGACGAATTTCAGAAAATTCTAAAAGCAAAGTCGAAGCACACAGGGGTTCTAAGAGAGGTAAGAGCCCAAAAGGTCAGAGATGACACAGACGACCTTCAGACTTGAGGCTTTTTATTGTGGGACTCACCCGAGACGTAGTTATATGTCTGAGTTGACTTCGAAGAGCAGGAATATTTCTGATAGAATTTAGCTTTGCCTTTGTCCTTGAATTGAAGAGTATCATGTAACATTGTTTTAATGGGCCTCAGTATTATAAAAATGTTGTCTTGTGGTTAATGGCTTTGAAGTAACATTTAGGCGGTTCTCCGCTATTATTTCCTGCCTTGCCTTATGGGAAGGGATTTTTTTTTCCATTCAAATATTTTTCCATTGGCTTTTCAAATACTGTAAATCAGTAGTTAACAACCCATTGGGCATAGTTGCTTCCAATGCCTCACATTTTGGATTGTTCCTTTATTATCCTGAAATAAAATTCTTGGGTAATATAAATTACCTAACTAGAAACTTCAAGGATATCAGTATAATATCCTACATATAATGTGAAAAGGGGGAGGGGGGGTTATATTAAAAATATATGTATTTTGTTATATAAATGTGTAGGCACAACTATCCCAGGAAAAATAATGAAGTAGAAGTAGTCGGAGGGGTGGATGATAAATGTAAATGAAACAAGTAGAAATGAAGACTCTCGGTGTGGTCTTTTGGTCACTTAAATACCATGGGTCTGTTTCTTTGATTGTGTGTGTGTGTGTGTGTGTGTGTGTGTGTGTGTGTGTGTGTGTGTGTGTTTAAGCCGTGAATAACCCAGGAAGCTTTAGAAGATAACAAACTACAGTTGTTCCTCTATATACAGAAGAGTTGTCCAGTTGTATTCTTGGAATATTCAATGGATATCTGAACCAGGCACAAATACTGTAGTGTTTTTAAATTTTTTTTTAATTATTTTTTTAATGTTTATTTTTGAGAGAGAGTCAGAGTGGGTAGAGAGAGAGAGGGAGCAGAATTCAAAGCAGGCTTCAGGCTCCAGGCTCTGAGCTGTCAGCACAGTGCCCAACATGGGGCTCAAACTCATGAACCATGAAATCATGACCTGAGCCGAAGTCAGATGCTTAACCAACTGAGCCACCCAGGTGCCCCTATTGTAGAGTTGTTCATAAAGCAGTTAGGTTTGAGAGCTATAACTGGGTTTTTCATCACATGGGTGCTGTCTAGAATAGTCAGAAGAATCCCTTGATGTAGAGGGACTGTTGTGCACCACAGGTATAGCATCCCTAGTCCCTGCAAGGAGCAGAAGTAGGAATCACTGGGGTAACAAAAAAAAGTACTCCCACCGTTTTCACAGTGTCCTCACAGGGACAGTTTCTGTCCTCATTTAGTGTCAGTACTCTGAATACTCCGCTCTTTTGATAAACTACTGACTAATGAGACAGTTAAATATCCCACCATTCTGCTAGACCTGAAACTTGGTCCGGAGAGATGCTCAAGCCAGCCCAGGAAGGCTGCAGAGCTGAGCTCTTTGCCTCTGTGGCCACCAAAGGCCTTGGGCCCTGTGCAGCTGCTCCAACTGCAGAGCTGTGACCACATTCTGCTGTAAATCTCTCTCTGCCCTCCTGCCTACTCCCTGTTAGTCCAAACAACCAGGGATTACTCCGGCCAAGTGCTTGGTCTAGAAAATAGTATTGAATAGACTGGGCTGTCAAGTAGGGAGGCACTGAATACCTTACATAGTTTGAGTCTATATTGGAACAGTAGAAATAATTCTCTTTTGGTTTATATTTGACATGTTCTGTTTCTTAGTCATGGATGTTTTCCCACTGTTTTTTTTTTTTGAAAATTAAGAGCTTGTGTCTACTTTTGATTGTCTTTTGGTTTGCAGGTCATTGAGGTTTTATCAGATGTCCTCATAATGGTTAGCTTGGCTTTTCAGTTTTTTATTACTGAACTGGTGCCTTGAGTATGTGTTGGATTTGGTACAAGGTCTTCTATGTGCCTTGTCATTCCAGGCAGAGGCTGAGCTGCAGGAACGCTATTTTGAGCCACTGGTGAAAAAAGAACAAATGGAAGAAAAGATGAGAAGCATCAGAGAAGTGAAATGTCGAGTAGTAACATGCAAGACGGTGAGTGGGGGAGATGGTTCTAACCTTGGGCTCTGTTTTGAGCTGCTGTGACTCAGCAGAACATAGAGAGATTGTGGGATATGGGGCCATGTCTTGTGACCAGAGTCCTGCCTGGGTCATTTCATTAGATTGGAAACCAAACTGCTCACAACAGCCAAGGTCCTGGCTGCCTGCCGACTTGGCCTCCTGGCTCTGGTGGCAGAGCATTGGTGGTGACAGTCTTCTCTCATCTGACCTCAGTTCCTGGTTTTACAGACGAGCCTCTAACTTCTCTTCCCCTTTGTCCATCGGACCCCATTTATTCTTCCGTGTCCTTCTCAAGTTTCTAGCACACCCTCAGTCCACAGTTCAGTCCTGGGACCTTGCCTGAACGATTTCCTTTGGCATTACATGTTATGACCAACTATTATTGCCTCTTTCTACTCAGGGCTTAACCTAGTGAATTGAATTTGAAGGCAAAGTGTAAATTGCATTATATACTTTGTAGAATTTTTACCCTTAGTCTCTTAGAAAACGATAAATCTCCTGTCCTTCAACATTAATAAAATAGGACCAAAAAAAGTTCTTGCAGAACAGTATCCTGCCATCAGCACTCACTTTATACCGCTTGGCTAATCCCCCTCGTAAGCACTTATAAGAGGAGAAAGAGACTTAGTTCATCCAGTACGATTTTCTCTATCCCTTTTCAAACCGTAGACTGTGCTTTACATTTAGGGGACAGCCCTGAACCAGCTGTCACCAAAAGGCAGGGCTTCCTTGAGAAAGTTCAGAATAAGTGAAAGCTTTAGCTCAGGTAACAACTTTTACTCTGACAAAACAGCAAACCCAGGGACATAGCTGGTGTGTTAGTTTTCTGTTGCTTCCCTGACAAATAACCACTAACTTGATAGTTTAAACAACACAGCTTTATTATCTTGCATTTCTGTCAGCCAGAAGTCTCTGTGGGTCTCACGGAGCTAAAATCCAGGTGTGGCAGGACTGCATTCCTTCTGGAGGTTCTAGGGGAGGATCTATTACCTGACCTTTCCCAGCTTCTAGATCCCACCCGTGTTCTTTGGCTTGCAACTCCTTCCTCCATCTTCAGAGCCCCCCAGTCACATCCTCTGACCTCCTCCCTGTGGATTCCCACCTTCACTTTTAAAAGCCCTTGTGATTCCATTGGGCCCACCTGAAAATCCAGAATCGATTCCCAATCTTACGGTCAACGACCCTGATCCACCTTTGCCGTGTAACCTTACGTGCCCACGGGTTACCCAGGGGTAGGGGGTGTATGTCTCAGGGGGGCGGTGCTATTCTGCATACCACTCTGCTCTGAGCTTTCTGAGGCTCAGAACCAAAAGTCACTTATCTAGATTCTGATTACCAGAAATCACGTTGCTGTGTCCCAGCACCTGTTGTGATGTTCACCCACCATTTCCTTCTTTCTTTTTTTTTTTTTTTTTTAATGTATCCTACAGTTCCATTTATACAAAGTACAAAACCAGGCAGACCAATGTTTGCTGTTCAAAAGTAGGGTAGTGATTACCCCTGGGGTGCGAGTGGAGCAGTGACTAGACAGGGCACAGGGAGGGCTTCCCATGTGCTGGGGACATTCTGTTCCTTAGTCTCGATGCTGCTTGTTGTTCCCTATTCTCTTCAACACTTTTGAGGGTCAAAATTACAAGTGAGTGACTTCATATCTCTGTCTTGGTTTTGTTGCTTATGAAAGACGAATAGGAATAATCTTAAGTACTTCTCTGAGGCCTTTTAAGAAGAAACAAAAGGGCTACTGAAGAGGCCCCAGTGTCATCCTAGAACCGAGCAACTGCAGTGAATTTAGGACAGACCCGATGAAGCTATTGAGGTTTCCACTGCTTTTGTTCTTCCCTTACTGTTGTCTTGATGTTCCAGAAAGTTATTATGTACTTGATGCCTGACCAGCATTTGTGGCCAACAGGAGGGGAAGTGGCATCATTACGCGGGACTCCAGAAACCACAGGGGTCCTCACAACTAGTAGTTAAGGTGGTTTCTCTGCTCCCAGCTCTCTGGCTGGTGGTGAGAAAAGGGAAGTCCTCATGGAACAGATTGCCCTCCTAGCAGCTAGCCAGTTTCTCCTCCCAAGCTCCTAACCAGATACGTGCCCTCCTGTTGGTTTCATGCAGTGTGCCTACACCCACTTCAAGCCTTTGGAGACCTGCATCAGTGAGCAGCACGACTATCACTGGCATGACGGCCTAAAGAGGTTTTTCAAGTGTCCCTGTGGAAACAGAAGCATCTCCCTTGACAGGCTCCCCAAAAAGCACTGCAGGTAGGAGAATTGATTCTTGAATTTTTCTCCAGTTCCTTTGTGATGCCGTTCTACTGGAACATCGAACGATCCTTTTTGAGGTTCAGGCCTTATTTCTGTGCCTCATTGAGCTCCCAGCTATCCCTAAAATCTCTTGGTGGGAAGGGACCCCACCTTCTTCGCTGCTCTATCCCTGCTACTTAGTACAATGCTCAGCCCACAGTGGGTACTCACAAATGTTTGTTCAGTGAAAGACAGAAGTCATTTCTCTGAAGGTACTACAGTTCCTGGGACAAGAACGAGGGAACCAGAACTGGGGTAGAACCCGAAAGCAATGAGCTAACTTTTGTGGCCACTTTTGCCTGGGAGCATTGGCAGACTCTAGGCGGGCGGATGGGAAGCTGAGGGTCTGGGTCTTGCCTCGGTGGAAGACCGCTAGCAGAACTGTTGATGGAGATTGGGGCTCTGCAAGAGTGGTTGGTATCTGTATCAGGATATCTGTGTTTGATTCCCTTTTACTAGTTGTTTTCAGAGCACTGATCTAAAGGACCATCCCACTCGGAAGTAGAATCCCTGATTAGGATCATGTTAAATGAATCAAATAGTTTTGTGGGGACTTATGGCTTTTACATATGAAGTCATCCATTTTTTTAAGATCATGGAGTATCTTTCCAATTATTCATCTCCTCCTCTATGGCTTTATTGATTTTTAAAATGGTCTCCACTGAGATGTTGAGTATTCTTAATTAATTCTTAGGTGTGTCATAGTTTTCACTGATACTCTGAATGGCAACTTATTGCCCAGTATAGTTTCTAGTTGCTTGTTGTTGGCGTAGAGAACTGTTACTACTTTTTTTATGAGTTGATCTTGACTCTGGCAAGCTTATCGAACTCTTATTCCAGTAATTTGTTGATTTCTCTACGTAGTTGATCATCCACAAATAAAGATGATTTTACCTGTTTTGTTCCCACTCTTACACCCTCTATCTCTTTCTTGATCGGGTTAGCCAGACCCCCAATACCATGTTAAATAGCAGTGATGATAGTTGGCTTCCATTTCTTGACTGACTTTTCATATTTTGGAAATTAACCTCTTGGCTGATAAATGGCTTGTAAACATTTTCTCCAGTGCTGTAGGCTGTCTTTTCATTTTGCTTCTTGTTAATTTCGCCATGTAGAGGAAGCTTTTGAGTTTGATGTGGTCCTATTTATTGACCTTTGCTTTTGTTGCTTGAGGTTTTGGCATCATGTTAAAAAAAAAATCATTGCCAAGACCAGTATCAATGAGCTTTTTCTACATTTTCTTCTAGGAGTTTTATGTCTTACATTTAAGTATTTCATTCATTTCAAGTTAGTTTTTGTGTGGGAGGTGCGATAATGGTCCAATTTCATTGTTCTGTGTGTATTTTTACAGCATCCCCAGCACTGTTTGTTGAAGAGACTATCCTTTCCCCATTGGTATCCTTGGCCCCTTGTTGAATATTGGTTGAAACATTAATTATCTATATATATGGAAAGATATATGCTTTCTATTTTGTTTTATTGGTCACTGTATCTATTTTTTGTGTCAGTACCGTATTATTTTTATTACTGTGACTTTCTAGTATAGTTTGAAATCTGTAAGCATGATACCTCCATCTTTGTTCTTTTTTTCTCAGCATTGCTTTGGCTATTCAGGGTCTTCTGGGTCTCCACAAATACTAGGGTTGTTTCTTCTTTTTTTGAAAAATGCCTTTGGTATTTTGATGGGGATTGCATTAAATCTCTTGTACATGGTTTTGGGTAGTATGGCCATTATAACAATATTAACTTTTTCAGATCCATGAACTTAGGGTATCTCCATTCATTTGTGTCTTCAGTTTCTTTCAGCAAAGTCTTGTAGATTTTCATTCACTTCCTTGGTTAAATTTATTACTAAGCCTTTAATTTTTTTTTTTTTTTTTTTTTTGATGCTATTGTGAATGGGATAGTTTTTTGTTTTTGTTTTTTTTTTTAATTTCTTTTTCAGGTGCAAAGGAATGCAGTTGATTTCTGCTATGTTGATTGTATATCCTGCTGCCCTACTGAAATCATTGATTAATAACTCCAACAGTTTTTTGATCTCTGGGATTTTTTATATATATATAAGATTGTATCATCAGCAAAAAGCAACAGTTTTACTTCTTTTCCAATTTGGATGCTGTTTATTTCTTTGTCTTGCCTAATTCCTCTAGCTAAGACTTCCAGTGCTCTACTGAATAGGAGTGGTGAGAGTGGGCATCCTTGTCTTGTTCCTGATCTTAGAGGAAATGCTTTCATTTTATCACCGTTGAGTATAATGTTAGCTGTGAGTTTATGAGACCTTATTAACACTGAGGTATGTTCCTACTACACCCAGTCTGTGAAGGATTTTTATCATGAAAGGGTGCTGTATTTTGTGAAAAGCTTCCTGTGTATCGAGATGATTATGTGATTTTTATTTTCATTTTATTAATGTGATATATTACATTTATTGATTTGCATATGTTGAACCCTCCTTGCATCACAGGGATAAATCCCATTTGGTTGTGGTATATAAATCCTTTTAATGTGTTCTTGAGTACGATTTGCTAATGTTTTGTTGAGAATTTTTGCATCTGTATTCATCAGAGATATTGTCTACCTTTTGATTTTCTT